CTAATAACACGATCAGAAAGGCTGACTGACAACGAACACAAAACAGAAGAAATCGAAAAAGTTAAAAAAGCTCTTCAACAAAATGGTTTCTCGGATAACAACATCAAGAGAGCATTAAGACCACGCCACAATAGAGAACGGACCGAAGAAGATAAACCAGTTGCCAAAGCACTCCTTCCATATATAAAAGGAACCACTGACAAAATCAGCAAAGTACTGAAGAAACATAAAATTGAAACTGTCTTCAATACCGACAGGAAAATTGGCAACATTCTTCCATCAGCGAAGACGAAGATTCCACTCGAAGGTCAAGGCGTTTACCAGATTCCCTGTGGCGACTGCGAAAAATCATACATAGGACAAACAAATAGAAGAGTTCAAACACGAAGAGAGGAACACAGAAATGCTGTAGAAAAGAATCAGGCAACCTCTTCTTTGGCGCAACATGCGAAAAACACCGGACATAAAATCAATTTCGAAGAAACAAGAATCATTGCCAACATAGAACATAAAACCAAAAGAATTATCAGAGAAGCCATAGAAATCGAAAAACATACAAAAAATCTAAATACACGTGACGATACACAAAGGCTCCCAATAGCTTGGAAACCGATTCTCGCAAACAAAATCATCAGAGCGCGACGCAACGCTTCACCAAGCATGACATCTGACGCACCAACGAGCAGCGAACCGAGGCGAAAACCAGTGAAGGAGAACGCGAAAATAATATATAAAGCAGCAGCAGAGCAGGTAAACACCAGTTCACAACGTATTACACGAAGTAGAACAAAGAAGACTTGAAAATGGCAAGTGTGATCTTGCCGAAACGTCGTCCAGAACACGATTCTATCCAGAATCAAGAAAACCATACGCGGAGAGGAACCCGGAAACATCTTGACAACACATATAATATCCGCGGAAATCTGAAGTTCAACATATATATATATATGTAGGACAAACTTTAGACGTTTTCCAAATATTAGGTATTGTTTTGGATTTTAGACAGAGATTAAACAACATTTGTAGAGGTTTGCTAAAAACAAACCTACAGTCGCGAATTAAAAACGGTACAAGATCCGGTCCAGCTGTTAATTTGGATTCAACTTTTTCATAGCGCTTACTATTTCTTGTTCTGAGAAAGACTAAATGTTAATGGTAGGCGCGTAACAAACCTCATTTTAAAAAATCTAATTTGAGGTATCATGCGAAAACGACTGCATAAAAAAGTCCGCAAAAGAATTTACAATTTCAGGTAGAGACGTGATTGTGTTAGTACTATAATTCATAGTAGTAGGTATGTTTGACAACTGCTTCTTTTTCTTTATAAATGCCCAGAATTGTTTTGGGTCACTTTTGATATCGCGTTCAGACTTTGTTATGAATAAATTATAAGGCTCCTTTATATCGGATTTTATTTTATTTCTCAACCTTTTAAAATTATCCAACTGCACAGCATCTCCAGTTATTTTAAATTTTTTGTAGAAATTAGCTTTTTGTTTGATAGCTCTAATGATGTCACGTGAGAACCAGGGAGGATATTTACTTTTTCGAAATTTACCGCACAAAAGCATGGAATATTTCATATATTTTATTATAAAGATAATAACTATACAAATGAAAAATTTCAAATTAACTTATTTTTACAAGGATTTAGAAGTACTTAACAACAGCCAACACATGTTTCGTAAAATAGATACATGAATGTGCTTAAAATTTATAAAAAAAATGGTATAAAAGAATATTCTTAAATATAAAGTAAAAATTTAACATTAGCTGTGTTTTTCCTAATGCGCATGCTTGGAAAGAATAGCCTCATATGGAGGTGAGATATTGTTGCTATATCATCGCTGTCATCATTAGCATATTTTCTTTTCTTTTGTTTAATCTTGGCATTTTCTAGTTGTACCAGTATTTTTTATTGTTTTTCTTGGTGCTCTACTGTGTCAGTCTGTTTATCGAGATTTTTTTTCCAGGTGGTTTATTATAGACGTACTCTTAACCCGAACCAAACTTTTCTTGAATGGTATCCTGTTGTGAGGCTATTTCGCTTAGATGAAATTATCGTTAATGCGCATGCTCAGTAAGATTGATATAATTTTAATTTATTAATTACTATAAAAATCAATATTGTTCTATAAATTGAAAAATATAAATTCTATAATTCTTTTAGTTTGTCACTTGGGGTTTGAAACTTGTTAAATATTTCTAATATTGCCCGAATATTGCGATATTTAAGGTCATGACAAAGAAGACATTTTTCATGTCCATAAGGTCGAATATCGATCTAGTAAAAATACTGAGAAATTCTTCATGATATCTGTACTATGGCGTTGCCTATCATTTGACGTATGTGACATTACTACTAAAAAGGTCTATTGGCTTTGCGGCCCTGATTTCATATTGTTGGGGACGCTGGCTGCTATAACACAGCGTGTTAGCTGCATAGAGCGGTTTTTGGATGTGACGCGACGGCAGAAACTTTGGAAAGTGAGGTGATTTTTTTCTTTGCCGCTCCGCGTTGTCCTGGAAGATTTAGGTTGATTAGCATGGATAGGGTGGTTTGTGGCTGTTTAGAGCGAATCTCCACAGAATTTTCGAAACTAAAATAAAATTTCAATTTTTCGCGCCGCATTATCTGAATCGCCGCGCTAGAGCTCCCCGGGACATCGTCCTCGGTCGATTTAGTTTGAGGCGTTTTTTTCCAGCTTTATGGTCCCGGATGAAAGTGTGGTGAATTTTCTAAATAACTCGGGACTGGTAAAAGACAATAACTTCCCCAATGCAATTAAAATAGCTTAATTATTTTATAGAAGAAAATGTATCTCATTTACTCAAATGCTTATTTAATTTTACTGAGTCTACTATTAATTCTAATTATGAACGAATTTGGTATCTTCTATTTATATTTTAACATTGAAGGGTAAAGACTTCATTAAAAGGCATGTGTAAAATTAAGTAGTAAGTACAGAATTGTGGCATTTAAATAAGTAGGCAGTTTGATTCTTTACAGAAATTGCATAGTATATATTTTTTAGTGTTACTGACTTATCATCTGTCTTTATATACAGGGTGATTCATTAACAATGGGAAAGTCGAAAGCTGAAGATACTACACGTGAAATGATGACCATTGGCGCAAACATGCCTTATCCGAAAGTTGATAGTTTCGGAAATACAGGGTGTTGAAAGTTAAAATTTTAAATCGTTTTTTTGCGATTATTCTGAAAATATGTAGGTTAGGAACTTGAAAATTTGTGAAACTATATTTTTTTAGGCGACGAATAAGATGCGTGTTGTAATTTCAGCATTGCTCATAGAGGGCGCCACTTACGACCAATTTTACCGAAAATTTAGTTAATAACTTTTTACCCTGTATGTCTAACATGAAACTTGATTCAAAACCTGAAAGAGCAATCATTTTTCCATTAATTATGTATTCTTGTTTCATTTCGGTATCTCGATCCGTTTTCGAGAAAAATCGATTTAACGAACACTATGTTTTGATAATACGAGAAATTAAAAGCGAAACAAACCAAGTGTTTCTTCGTGTTATTACAACAATTAACAATAAAACAAATGAAATTCGTAATAATGATTTAAAGTCAGTGTTCGAAGAATCCACCGTTGACATTTACACACTTTACACAACGTTTTCTGAGAGATCTTCGAGTTTGAAACAACATATTGGGATTGCGTTTGACTTCGTTGGCAGCGATTTGTATTCTTTGCCACAACTCTTCACACGAGCCAATAGATTCTTTGTAAACTATATCTTTCATTCGAGACCAAATAGAAAAATCAAGAGGATTGAAGTCCGGACTTCTGGATGGCCAAGCAAAAATGCTTACATGGCCAATCCAGCGATTTGGAAAAACTGCATCTAAATATGCACGCACTGGCCAAGAAAAATGCGGTGGAGCTCCGTCGTGCATGAACCACATGTCTCTTCTTAAATAAAGTGGAACTTCTTCAAGCCGTGGAAGCATTTTTACTTGGCCACCCAGAAGTCCGGACTTCAATCCTCTTCATTTTTCTATTTGGAAGAATCTATTGGTTCGTGTGAAGAGTTGTGGCAAAGAATACAAATCGCTGCCAACGAAGTCAAACGCAATCCCAATATGTTGTTTCAAACTCGAAGATCTCTCAGAAAACGTTGTGTAAAGTGTGTAAATGTCAACGGTGGATTCTTCGAACACTGACTTTAAATCATTATTACGTATTTCATTTGTTTTATTGTTAATTGTTGTAATAACACGAAGAAACACTTGGTTTGTTTCGCTTTTAATTTCTCGTATTATCAAAACATAGTGTTCGTTAAATCGATTTTTCTCGAAAACGGATCGAGATACCGAAATGAAACAAGAATACATAATTAATGGAAAAATGATTGCTCTTTCAGGTTTTGAATCAAGTTTCATGTTAGACATACAGGGTAAAAAGTTATTAACTAAATTTTCGGTAAAATTGGTCGTAAGTGGCGCCCTCTATGAGCAATGCTGAAATTACAACACGCATCTTATTCGTCGCCTAAAAAAATATAGTTTCACAAATAATCAAGTTCCTAACCTACATATTTTCAGAATAATCGCAAAAAAACGATTTAAAATTTTAACTTTCAACATCCTGTATTTCCGAAACTATCAACTTTCGGATAAGGCATGTTTGCGCCAATGGTCACCATTTCACGTGTAGTATCTTCAGCTTTCGATTTTCCCATTGTTAATGAATCACCCTGTATAATTCAAAAATGTATATTTCACTCCAGGGAATATGTATGTGTCATTTATTGCATTAATAAATTTACTTGTTTTTTCCCTTCATTTAGGTACGTCATATCACCGCTTTCCAAAAAAAAAATAAGGAAGCATACTTTTTGTAGAAATGTTACAACGTAACAAAGCACAGATTTCTTATTCTTCTCAAAAATACTAAGTACTGGGGCTACTCATAAGTACCACGATAAGAAAACAACGGTTATAATTATAATACTTTTATTAAAGACAAATATCACAATTGCTACCGTAACTAAACCCTCTTCTATAAGTCTACTTCACTTTTACTAAAGAATTCGCTTTTCCGTACTTGTAATAGGCCAGAAAAGGAAAACATTTCATCAACCACAGTGCGATAATCTGGATGTAGTTATGAGTAATCCTCAGCACATTGAACTGCAAGGACCACAAAGTGTACAAAATAAAATACAGTTTAAATTTCTTCTGCCACGTCAGCAAGTTGAAACCGGGCTGTGAATGTACGTTACTGTTATCCTCTAAAGCCATTTGTAGGTACAGTGTGAACACTTTAAACTCTAGAATTGGATTCATCGTCCACAGCCCATTTATTAAAGCGCTCGACATTTTTTTGAAGTGTTTGGAGGGGCTTTTCAGTCTCGGACGGAATACTTTTTCTATAAGCAGATTACAAATTTCTTTGGTTTCAGCGACTGATTCCCTACAAATGTTGAACCTGGAATAACGAAATAATTTAATCTGTATTAGTAAGAAAACGGCTTCTTTAAGGGTACGAAATTATTTCTCATGCAATGTTTCATTTTTTTCTCGTACCTATAGGTATTCAACGTTAATATTTCCAATACTAGGGCTCACAGTGAGATACAAACTTTTTTGTTTATAAAATCTTAATTAGAGTGTAACCGAGTGTAAGTTATTTATCTTGAAGTACACTTTGCACTGAAAGTTATTCTAAATTTGAAATAAGGACTTTTCAATTTTCATATACCTAATATTTTTGCTGTCAAATTAACTGTATATTTTGCGGTCACCTGAGATATTTCAATTATTCCTTGTAAGAGATGTAGACAATAACATGATCTATCCATCCATTACTTAAACACGATTTGAACAAATACTGACATAACGATTTTTGCAAAAGTGTCAATTTTTCTAATCAAAAGAGAGTAGCAAATAAACCTATGCAATGTATACCTGTAGCAATCGTCGAGATTTAATTGTGCGGATAAAAATCAAATCATTTTACATTCATACGTCAGATAACTTTGTACACATCATTTTGTTCGAGCAGATCATAATTTTGAATTAATGAAATCATTCTTCAGTAAAGGTTATTTTTCATAAGTGAAATAATTTTACTGAACTCGGGGATAGCTTATCCCTACAAGGTCAGATTTCGGTCAAGTCAAGATCATTTCAAGGTCAAAGTAAAGAAAAAGGCCTTTCACGAATGTTAATCTGTAAGTATGTATGGCTTTTGAGATTGCTGAACCTGAATTCGGGGATAGCTTAGCCCTACAAGGTCAGATTTCGGTCAAGTCAAGATCATTTCAAGGTCAAAGTAAAGAAAAAGGCCTTTCACGAATGTTAATCTGTAAGTATATATGC